GTCCAATGAGGCGACGGCAGTTGCGAAACGCTCGTGTGGAGCTGGCAGGATTGTACCTTGAAAGCTTGTTCGCTTATTCGACCCATATTGCCTGCAATACGAAGCTGCCAACGACCACAGAAGACATATAAACGCACACTCAAGAAAATAATCCAAGACCACACGCTCATTGAGTACCAGCGTATTGTCATTGACCAGTCAGCCCAGCCAGTAAAGCGCTAGAATGAGCGCATGGATAGCCTAGAATCGAAAATAGAAGGCAAAAAATCGAGTGGAAGCGTCTAATCAAGATTCAGAACCTCTCATTCAATTGGCACGATCGCGGGGCAATGAAGCAATATTGCTTAAAGCACGTTTCGTCAAAGCCCTTGCTTCAGCGGTACAAAGAGCTTGCCCGCCAAGCAGGTTTTGCTATACGGATTATTCGCCGACCATCGCTTTGTCCGAATTATAGTTGTGTATAGACAGCACTCCAGTGTACTCGCCAATAACACTTCCAACTAAAATATAACCACCTGCATGAACTCCGTATCCAAACCGAGTATGAACCAGCTCCCCCCCCCCCCCGAGAGCTAAAAACACTTTTTTAGCATCGTCCTTTGCGAGCACAGTTTTTGGATGTGCAATAAATCCCTGCGTCTGCGATGCTACATCAACCTCGCTCGCAGTAACATGGGCAGTCGAATGGGTCAAAAATATTTCCGTATTCTGGAAAAACAATGTTTTCAGGACCCTCAGAAACTAAATTTTTCCGAGATCCGTCTGAATCTTGTTCAACGTCATAGTTACGGATGTTAAAGTTCAATTTCATCATTTATATTCTTGGACGTATCCTCTATTCCTTCATACTGAAAGACGTTTTCTACTGCTTGCTCCTCAATGTCTTTTATTACAAATTGCTCGGTATCCTCTAATTAAATGCTGTTTCCGGGTATATCTTGCGCTGTTTTTGCTCGCTCCGTCAGATCTATTGGATTGTCATTCTTTCCAGCTCTTGCGACAGCTGCTGGAATGATACCAGACTATATTGATTGCCAACCAATTATTTGCATAGGTTAGACGTCATCTCGCCATAAGTTGGCTGGTTGTATGTCTCACCGAAAGCGTCCCAGTGCGCTTTGTCAATCGACTTCAAATAATCAGCTGCTACTGGACGGGTATCGGATAATTTTGAGCCGTCGATTCTGCATTCACTGCGCATCTGCAATACGAGAGCCTTCTCCGGTGGAGGGGGGGGGTAGAGCCCACGTTTTCTTTTTAATGTTAGTGTTGATGTGACGTACACAGAAGCAGTGGACTCAACCGGGATATAGCTTCGTCATAGAAGCCAGCGATTCTTTTTAACGGTTCGACAATATCGCTGGTTTTACAACTCACCAATCCATGCGTTTCAGCTGCCCAGAAGCCATTCCCAGTTGATGTAGGCCTCCTGTGCGACCAACGCTAATATAAATACAATGAGACGACCTTCCACATCTTATGTGGCTGCAAAAGAAAAAAGTCACGTTCGTTCGTATCTTTTTTAAAAGCGTGTCCAATGAGGCGACGGCAGTGCGAAACGCTCGTGTGAAGCTGGCAGGATTGTACCTTGAAAGCTTGTTCGCTTGGTCGACCCATCTTGCCTGCAATACGAAGCTGCCAACGACCACAGAAGACATATAAACGCACACTCAAGAAAATAATCCAAGACCACACGCTCATTGAGTACCAGCGTGTTGTCATTGACCAGTCAGCCCAGCCAGTAAAGCGCTAGAATGAGCGCATGGATAGCCTAGAATCGAAAATAGAAGGCAAGAAATCGAGTGGAAGCGTCTAGTCAAGATTCAGAACCTCTCATTCAATTTGGCACGACCGCGGGCTATGGAAGCAATATTGCTTAAAGCACGTTTCGTCCAAGCCTGCCTTGCTTCAGCGGTACAAAGAGTTTGCCCGCCAAGCAGGTTTTGTTTGCTATACGGATTATTCGCCGACCATCGCTTTGTCCGAATTATAGCCGTGTGTAGACAGCACTCCAGTGTACTCGCTAATAACACTTCCAACTGAAATATAACCACCTGCATGAACTCCGTATCCAAACCGAGTATGAACCAGCTCCACTTCCCCCCCCGAGCAGCGTTGGCAGAAGGGTTTAAACCAATCGGCCAATAAACGTTCAGTACGTGGTTTCGGCACTGGGTTTCGGCCGTTCGGCAAATGGTCGGGTAGACATACACCCCACTTTTAGTATGCTTCAAGAGATTACAACAAATAATAAACAAAATCCATTTTTCATTTTAACATTTAATTTATTTTTTTTCATTTTTTTTTTTTCCTCTTTATATTTTTTTTTTTTCTCTCTTTTTTATTTAATAAATTTTATTTTTCACTAAAATTTTCCATTATTTTTTCTCTCTATCTTATATCCACCTTTCTTTTAA